TGATTAATATTTAGTAAAACCGGATAAATAGATTGTTATAACTGCTGTTTTTTATGGAAGAATTAAAAAAACTGAAAACCCCAACAACAATTTACTGTTTTACTAATATTAATCCAAGAAAATCGAAAAGACTTCCGTCTATACAAAACATTTTACTAAAATCGTTGCTTACAGAATCTATAACAGATGTAACTGCAACAGTAACAGTTGAACTGCCAGCCACTGTTAGCGTTAACAGTGGCCGAGACCAGCTGCCAGCGAGCGAAAGAGCGACGTAGCCAGAGAGTGAGAGAAGCATGAACAATTTTCAGTGCAACGCAACAACATTTTGCAATAACTCTTGCACAAAAGCAAATTTGATTTTTGCGCGCACTAAGAGAGAACGTTTACGCCCCTGTCGTTTGCCGCTGCCTTTGCCTATGCCTTTACCTTTCGCCCAGCAGCAGCATTATCAGCGCTCTCTTTAGGTGTTGGGCTTTTCGAGTGCCGCGCACGCCGCGTTCATTGACTAAGGTCTCGAAATAGTGTTTAAAATTAAATCGATGAGTCAGACAGGTGACCGCGTCCGCTCACCCGCTCTAAATCCGACCGCCTCATCGTTGTCTGGCCTGACTAAGTACTTTCCGAGTGGGTTTCGTCCCGTTCAGTTGAGCAGTTGAGTGCATGGATGCGTCGACGTTTACGTCGACGTCGGCGTCGACGCCTCGCTGATTTCTTTGGACCAACGCGGCGTGGCGACAACGTCAGGCGGCAAATTGCCGACTCTCGGAATCGCTTGCTCACACACACACACACACACACATGCAATACTGGCATGCGTTTGTGTTTGTGTGCTTTTATGTACATACACATGCTCAGTTATTATTTGTTTATTTTATTTGTCTGTCGACAGCAGCAGAAGCGGCAGCTGCCGCCGCCGCACACTTTGAATAATTGGCAACATTTCTCTGGCCAACAAAACGATACAGGAAGTGCGAAGCAAGTCACGTACTTCGAAAACAGAACACAGCAGCAGCAGTAGCAACAGCAACAGCGGCAGCGACAGCGTCGGCAACGCAATGGGCCAAATCTAAATGAGTGCAAGAGAGCAGCGGCAGCGGCAGCGGCAGCAGAAAGCAGCGTTGCCAATTCTGACATTTTTGAAAGTGATTTCGAAAAAAGTTAAAACTGGGGGGAGCGGTATTTTGGCCTTTTTCAGCTTGTAAAAACGGACATCTCGATTTTTTTAGTTTCATATTTCGAAATAGTTAAGAAACGTAAAAATTAACCAGCTTGAGCATAATAATATGTTATTAAAAATTTATTATTAGAATAGAGTATTCAAAAATAATTATTATTAATAAATAATAATATTTGACATGAGTAAGAAGACAAAAACTAGCCTCTTCCATTTTCTTATTCACCCAAACTAGCATTTTGCTTATCAAAGTTGGCAACACTGGCAGCATGTGACAAAAGAGAACCAAATAGAGTTGTTTTGAACAAATAGACTGCAGCTGTGTGTATGTGTGTGAGTGTGGGTGGGTGTGCTCGTATGTGTGTAAGCAGCCAGGCTGTTTTAAATGGTCTCGTGGGTGTGTTTCGCACATGATCTGCAATGGCGCTTGAATTGCATGTTAATAGCACTCGTTGTCATCGGTCATCAGCCGGCTGACAGGCGACAATACTTTCAAAAACTATATGCATGCAATATGCACCTACATACATATGTACATACATATTTACATGCATACAGATTACAGATTACATACATATAGATTTTTGTGCAGAGTTGTTGATATGTGATATACTCCACATATTGTACAGTTGTGGAAACTTAAGTAAAATATTTGCCGATTGGGGAAATAAAAAAATAATGTATATTTTTGTGAATGGGTAGGATGAGCGCCAGAAACGGGCGAGAAACGAGAGATGCCAGACCGCAAATTTACAAAGAATTTGCCAACGATACGTGTTACGTAGAAGCGTAGACTGTAGGAAGCATATTATGTAGTAGGTAGGTATATATATGTGTATGTGAGAAATATATGTACATACATATATAAAATTAAGAGGAATCGTGTCACACATCAGGAGGTATTCTGCAATCATTCGTATATTTATAGGTTAAGGTTGAAAAATAAACTTAGTCATCAGCTCATTAAATGAAATTATATTTGTAATCTATTTACATTCTGATTTAATTTTCTTTGTTGATAAACAGAGATTGAGAGCTGAAGTTAAAGTTAAAACACAGCATACTTTTAAGGTGTCATTAAGAACTTTGCATACCTCATTTGCATACATACACAAGTTAACAATAAACAATTGTTTCACTAAGAAAAACAAAGCGAAAGGTAATAGACATTTAAGAAAACATGCAAGCCATAAACATTTATTGTGTTGGTATAGTATTTTTGGGCTCTAGCAAGCTATTAAATACCCTTACAAAGCCTATAGTTTTGTAAGGAGAAGAGACCTCCATGAGAGACTTACAATACCCTCTGCGAAGGTATAATTCATATAAGAGCATATACCAAAATTCAAGGTTCTAAAATTGTTGACATTCGTTACATGGAACTTAGGAGAGGTTAAATAAAATTAACATAAATTTTCCACCGTACGATCTTTAAGACTAAATTTCTTATAATCTCCAAAATCAATGGAAAGTCAGACGAACGAACATTCTCGATCGACGCAGAATATACATATGTATATAAGTATGTATGTATATGTATCCATTTATTATAATCGAAAACTTGTTGGAGTTTATCGATTGTTTATTTCTTTTGCAGCGCAATTTGATTGAAAACTTCTTGTCGCCTTGTCGCTGCTGATTGCAACGGTAGAAGTGGGAATAGGAATAGAAGAAAGGGGTGTGGATAGGCGGAAACTGGTTTTCGACTGCTGGCGAGAGATATAAAGCCAAATGATGTCTCGTGGCAAACGGTGCTAACTGATTGGAAGAGACAACAAAGCTAGAAAGAGAGGGAGCGAGCGAGCGAGAGAGCGAGAAAGAGAGAGAGAGGGAGAGCAAGAATCGGACAAATGTGCATAGAACGGATCGAATCGATTGGAAATCCGACAGGATTGCGTAATTGCCGCTTTTCGCAGTGTACTGCAATTGGGGGCTGGGGGAAAGCCATCGGGAAAGGAACAAAACAGCAACAGCGAATGCTGTGGAACCGTTCAAATCGAATTCGTCGCGAGTACCAAGGTAAACACACTCAGCAAAACAACGAGCATTGGAGAGGAAAACAGTAGAAATCACTACAAACAACAACAAAAACAACAACGCGGCGCGCACACAAAAAGAATGGCCCCAAAAAGAAAAAGAAGAAACAACAAAGCAGAAGAAAAAAAAAACTGGTAGGACAACTTTTTGTTTCGCCTGATAGAAATCCACACACACACACACTCACACACGTTCAAGTCAAACTCGTACTGAAGCTTAAAGTCAAGTTAAAAAAAAAAAAACACAAAAAATCCCCAAGTTGATTTTGCTATTGCTAATGCTATTTATTGCTGACTTGACTCGGCGACTGGTTGCAGCGATCGCGCCTAATTTTGCATAACAGACTGTTATGTTATTAACAGCCGAAATTGATGGCAGCCAATAACAGCGCTCAAATGGTTTGGCTGCTAGCTGGAGATGACCTGCGACGTCATGACTTATGAGTGCGTGATAGCCATGCAGTGATAGAGAGAAAGAGAGAGAGAGAGAGAGAGAGAGAGCGAGAGCAGGACATGGTGTAAACGGTGCATGGGCAAAAAACATTGCGCAAGACGCAACCGATCGGGTTCTGTGAACCCCACCTAACACACGTACATTGCTTATAAAAGTTACAAAGGCAGCGACGCTCTGTTGTTGTTGTCACTCGCTTCAATAGACAGACACATACAGTTAAGTGTGTGTGTGTGCGTGTATAAACGTAAGAACTTGTAAAGGTAGTTGAGTATATATATGTATATGTAGATATATGTGCCTACATATGGGTAGGTAGAAACCAGTATAGTTGTCGTATCCAATGTGTTTGTTATTGTTGTTGCTTGTATTGGTTGTCTTTGTCATCAGCGTTGACTTGATTAAAGAACGCGCGTGCACTGCACAAAAGAGAGAAGTTCAAATGCAGAGCGAGCGCACAAGAGCAAGGGCGACCGAGCGTAAGAGTAAATCAATGCAACATAGCCAAGGTGTAAAAACCGCACGCATACACATACACACACACACACACGAAGGCCCATTGCATCTGTTTGTTTGTAAGGAAGCAGCTTTTGTTGTTTCTCTTTGATTTTTGCAGGATACATAAATCACAAAAGCAGCTGATTTAATTTTAAAAATCAATTCGCAAAATATACAATCTAGATAAGATTTATATTTTTGCCTAGTAACTGATTTTGCAGAGTACGACTTGTAGCTAAATTAAAGGGAAATTTAAGTGTAATTATCGATTAGATTATTAAAAGAATCGTCTTGAATATTGGGTTCTTGACTTTCAGACTGTAACACGAAGTCAATGACTCTCAAACTCTAACAGTAGACAGTCATGCAGACTTAGTCAGGAAAAGAACAATATATATCCGGTATTAAAATAGAAGAATATATATATCTACTAAAATATATAAAAAATAATAATGCATACATTATTATTTGAACATGTGACGCAAAAATAATGGATTCGATATTCGACAAACAGTGAAACAATATAATAAAACCCCATATTAAGTAATTGATGTTATTATAAATATCCCACTGTCTAACGTGGGAAATGTCACAAGTATGTTCGCATGTGTATGTTTGTATGTATATTTTCAATATGCAAATAAATGTTAAGGGTGTTCCGCTCTCTTATACGCTCTCTTATCGGTTACGATCACATATGTCGATGGCAGCCAGAGATAAATTGAGAGCAACGCACGTATGTATTTATCTATGTTATTAAGAGAGCAAGAGTATAAAGGTAGAAAGAGTTGGAAAGAGAGAGAGAGAGTGAGAGAATGAGAGGGTGTAAAAAACGCACCTGCTTCTGGTTTGCCAACAACAGCGACGTCCAATTCGCTGTTGCTGAGATTGTTCTGCAATTGCAGCAGCCCCGTGCCGCAAGTGCTTGAGCTGGTGATGTTTTTCATGCAGCCAGCTTTTATTGTATGTGTATGTGGTAATTGTAAGTGGGATGCTGATGTCACAAGCGTACACACGTTTTACTGTTTTTTTTATTTATTTTTTTTAACCGCTGTTAACTGTTTTCACTGTTGTGCTTTTGCTGCTATCAGTTATGATAACGCCCAGCGCCTGTGCGCGATGTACTTGTTACCGCGTTTGAAATCACTTTTCTTGCCGTTTGCACTTCACATTGTGTGTTGGGAACTAGAAAAATTGCAAAGATTTATGAAATGCCAGTTGAAGGCAATTAGAGTTGAGATTTTTTTTCTCTTTTAAACTTGCGCGCGCGCGCCGCAGCCGCTGCTGCGTCTGCGTGTGTATGTGCTGCGTCTACTTTGAATGCATGTGTGTGTGTGTGTGCGCGCGCGCCCGTGCATGTGTGTGCCTTTCAGCAGAAAAAAGGTGCAGCAGGCATTGCGAGAGCAGAATTGTAAAATAAAAAAAAGGAAAACAAAAAGAGTAAAAGAGCACAAAGAATGGACGAACAAGCGACGCTTTGGTAATTTTCTGCACTTCTCGAGTCGCGCTTAATTGACGCTTTTGCTTAAAGCGCAAATGTTGCTGTTGTTTTTGTCTGACCCACGCAGCTCATATATGCATTGAGTGGCTTTTGCATACAAATTTGTTGTTTTCCTTTTGGAACGACTGCATCTGTGTGCAAAATAAAAACCAGCATACACACATACATATGCATATTAATGTGCGCGTGTGTTTGTACCCTGGTGCGTACTTTTTGAGTGGCTCCACTCTTAAAGTTGTTGGGCTCGCCGAACGCACACACATACACGCACAATAATTTATCTTGTTTTGGCGTATTTATTTATGCACATATATGTATTAGCATTTAGGCTGCACACACATACACAACGTAATTGTAACTGAACGAAATCTCGAAATTTGATTTTTTCACTGTTGTCTTATTAATTGTTGTTGCTGGATGCGTGGGTGTTTTTATTTGTTTTTGATTGCTGACAGAATTAACAATTGGCGGTATGCATTTAATGTTGCAACAACCGCAAGCGAGCAAGAGGAAGCAGAATAACACAACATGGCTAACAGCACACGCGCATCGCCTAAATTTAACTGAATGAGCACTCACACACACACCTATACAGATAAAAACATCGACACAGCAGCAAAGAAATAATCAAAATCAAATCTTATAAGTTATACGTATGTACGTATTTTGAGTTAACACATTAAGTACACAAATGAGCACCAAAAAAAATGTGTATGTAAATTTATCAAAAAAATAACTAAGAAAAAACACGGCAAAAAATAAATAAAACAACTAAATATCTACACACAATAAAAAAATATTTATATATATACGTATATATGTATGTACACACACAGAAACAACGCACAGAGCCCCGCACGTCGAGCTTGCGGGGGGAATGTGTATGGCGCAGAGGGGGTACGGGGCGAACAGGCAGACGCGGCAACGATGACGACAACGAAAAAATCGCGGAAACACTGCGAAACACGCAACGCGCAGAAGCGAGAGAAACTCATCGACTGAATCGGAATCAATACAAAGAACGACAGTTGCTCGCTCGCTGGGCCGACTGACTGGCAACACGGCTCCGTGTCTGGGCTCTTGCTGCTGCCTGTTTGACTGGCTGGCTGTTTGGCTGTCTCTGTTTAGTTTGCTAACACACAAACGATGACAACTACAACCGCACAATGTGATCAAGCCCCAAACCCAATACAACATCTCACCAATACCACAAAAGCAAAACATGCATAAATACACAAATACACGCGCACGCAAGCGCTCTCTTCATTCTTCTTCATGCGCCTGTTAGTGGCATACGTGTGACTAATACAGCGTGGAGAGCCGAACCGAGCCGAACCGAACTGAGCCGAGTCGAGCTGCGCTGTTGCCTTTTGCCGCTCATTTACTTTGCGCTCGATTTCGCTCACTTGTTGTTGGTGGCGCGGCCAGGGCATAGAAGAACAGCAACAACAACACAACAGACACGCTGCGATTGCCTGTACGTGTGTGTGTGTGTGTGTCTGTGTGTGTGCCCGTGCTTGTGTTTGTAAAGAAAAGCAAAGTACCAGGCATCGTCGTCAGTGGCGCTGTGTTGCTTGTTGGCAAGGTGGGGAAGGGGTATCATTTGCATCTGTACCCAAAACAGGCTAAAGAGTCCACAAAAGCAGGTAAGCCAACTACAGACACACATAAATACAAACTCACGTACAGGTATATTCAAGAATATGGGGCAGGTTCGATTCAAAAAACAATCTGTTAGTTTCATGCATTTACAGGATTTTCAGATTTAATAATTAATAATCTGCTAAGCTACACATAAGCCGTACACAAAATAACAGTTAAGTGTTCTGTTAAAGTTTGACTGTTAACCAATTAAATATGAATATGTATGCATGTATTTATGTATGTATGTACATATGTACTATAAGAACCGAGTCCTTTTCGAGATATGCTTGTTTCAAAATCATCTACGATCGCTTTAATATGTACATATATGTACATAGTATGTATGTATGTACAAACATAAATAAAATACAAGCGTCAATTAATGTTTGTATGTATATACATATGTAAGAATGTATTCACAAGTTTTCCGATCATTTGGCAAACAAATAAATGGGTAAATTTGATGACTGGGATAAATTAAAATGAAGTGGCAATCATTTGTTAAAGTACAATAGAATTAAATGTTAAAGCTGGAGAACTATTCTGAAGACAACTAAACAAAAACACATACATACAAACATATTCCGTATACAAACATACATATAGACAAAGTTAGCAAGCAAGTTTAACAACTAGCTCTGTGTGTGTGTATGTGTGAATGTGTGTGTATGTATATGTATGTGTGAAAGTATGAATGCGTTTTCTATGGTTGTTTGTTTGCATGTATTGTGGGTACTGTCGGACGACACTCACATGTTTGCGTTGTGCTTTTGTTGTTGCGCTGTTGCACGTCGTCAGCTGTGGAGAGAGACTGCAATGCAGGTGGCTGTCGGTCGATCGGTCGGTCGGTCGGTCGGTTGATCGGTCGGTGGATGGTGAAAGAGCGAAGGAGTTGTCGCTGCTGTTTTTGTTGCTGTTGCGTCGGCCAAGCAGCCAGTTGGTCAACTGATGATGCAGCAAATGAGCGGGATAAGACTTCTGATCTTGTCGCTCATTGTTAGAAAGGAACAAGTTTTTTCTTGCTTTTTTTCTTTTAATTTTTCCCCATTTCCCTTACAACACCAGCGTTCAACTTTGCATTCGCTTGTCGCATCTATTGTCGCCGGAGCTTGCGTGCGTGTGCTTGTGTGTGTGTGTGCGAGAGGCTAAGAGAGTGGGAGCGCCGCAGCCAGAGAGCGTACATTTGCAGGGCGTAGCAGCGACTCTCTGTTGGAGCTCAAAAAAGCTAACGCGCGTGCTGCTTATTCTGGAATAAGATCGCTGCAAAGCTGCGAGCGCGCCTAACAGCACTGCTGTTAAATTAACAGACATTTTTGAAATATTTTCACCATGACTGTGCCAACGGACAGTAGCAGCAGCAATATCAGCAGCAGCAGCGGCAGCAGCAGCAAAAACAACATTAGTGGCAGCAGCAGCAACTGCGGTCGGCTACTGCGCGCCAATTGTTAACGTTCAGTTGCTGTTGGGTACATACATACAAGTACAACTATGTGTATACGTATGTATATATGGTATTGGTACATGTAATGTGACTTATTTAGTTTTTAAAAACTTCACACGTGATTGTGTGTGCGTGTGTTTGTATGTAGCCACTAAATGGCCAATAAGAGTTCAAACGCTTTCTTACCAAATTTCTATTCTCAGCGTAACTGGTTTTAACTTGATGACACATATGCACGTATATATGTACATATGTATGCACGTACATGAAAACATATGTATGTATGTAAAGGTTTTAATGTGAATGTCTTTCTAAAAAGTGTGTTCAATATCTAGTATCGATTTTTAGCTTCGGTTATCGATTAACCGAATTGCATCTCGATGGCTCTTCACGCAGGTTAGGGTTTACCTTAACTTTCTCATTATCTTACTATGCTTGACCATATTATAAATAAAGCTTATCTACTTAGCACACGGAATCGAATATCTATAATCTATCAACGCTGCGATTATGAAAGCTGATTATTCATGATGTACGTACAAACATACACACATATGTACATACATACACAAGTACTTAAGTAATTTGGGGTTAAGGTTCAAGTTGATTTTTAGTTTTTTCGTTCATAAGTTATGTTGACAGGTATTCAATTAAAAAAATTGGACTGGTCTACTATATCAAATTACGTTGGTACAGTGGTTAAAACTTACGGAAACCCGGATAATGTAGAAATTCGAAAATACATAATCTTGAAATTTAAAATAAAGGCTTACGGAAATTATTATGTATATTTCACAATTTAGAAGTGGTGGGAATTTGCCTAGAATAATTCAAATACTTAGCTATGCAATAAGAACAAATTTTGATAATAATATATGTATCTTCTAAAGTTTAACAATCAATTGCAATTATTATTTATTCAGTTGTTCACTACAAGAAAAATAATCAAATAGACAGGGGTATCTAGTTAGAAAGAGTTCTTAAAAAATAACTATAAGAAATACTGCAATGTGCGTTAAAATAGAAAAAGTCGCGAATGTATAACAGACTTAGTAGCAGAGCACAGTGCGTATGCGATATATACATACGTATACGTATGCATGAATGTTTGTATGTGTGTGTGTGTGTGTGTGTGTGTGTGTATGTATTGCTCGCAGTTTATCAGCTGCCATAACAATGATGTGCTGTTCTTTATGAACTTAACATTATGTGTGAAAGGCAAAGAAGAAGAAGAAGCGGCAGTGACAGTGGAAATACAATAAAAATAACAATAACAATAACGACTATATCAACAGCAGCAACAAGAACAACAGCAACAACAAGAACAACTATAATAATAATAATAATAACAAGTTGCGTGAGACGGTCTACTAGAGTGCATGTGTGTGTGTGTGTGTGTGTGTGCGTGCGTGTGTGTGCTTGTGTAGAAATTAATAAGTTCCAGTTAAAGACCAACTGAATCATTTGTTGTCGCACAATCAGACAAGCAAACATAAAACACAGATGAACACAAACACAAACACACTCACGAAATAAAACAGCTGCGAATTTAATGTCCAAGAGCAAATTAGAGAGACAGTGACAGACAGTGTGAGTGTGTGTGTGTGCGTGAGTGTGTGTGTGTAAGTGAGAGACAGATAGTAACAGATACATATCATGTTATAATATATATATACATATCTATGTATGTTAAATAATAACATTTGAACAGAGCCCCCATTGATGTTAGACTTGATGAATAGACAGGAACCGATAGATATACATATATGTATATATCTATATCTATATAAAAATATATAAAGTGTATCTTTTGCTTTTGATGGTCCTTGCGGTTAACTGTTCGTTAGATGCTGTAGAATGAGACGGTTGAAAAACTTTTGCTCGACTTCTCGATGCCCAAAAGTTCGTTCAATTTGACAAAATCATCGGTGCCAGCCGATTCTATGCTCAGCTTGGTGCTCAGTTGGCGTTTTTGATCTACCGGAGCCGAGGATTTTTGGGTTAGCTGATTCTTTTGGTTACGCGGCCGGCGCAGCATATTGATGTGTGGATCCTCGCCCTGATCGCTCGGATCCTTGCGCGGATCCTTATAGCCGAGAAAGACCTCTGTGTTCAGGCCTTTGTGCAGTGGCACGGGCGGGCCCAATGGCAATTGTTGCTGTTGCTGTTGCTTTTTGATTTCCTGTTTCTGCTTCTCGCTCTTCGCCTGATATAGCTCCAGCTCCTGTTCCTCCTCACCCTCTTCCTCGTCGCCATCAATTTGTGAAGAGGATGTCTCCTGCTTGGGCAGCTCACCCAAAAAGGCCCGCTGTAGATACTCCAACGGCTGGCGCGAAAACGACAACATCTCGCAAAAGATCAGATCCTGCACGGTGTAAAAGTCGTTCAGCACATACTTGAGATAAGTGCCCATCAGGCCAGAGTACGCATCCGGCCAGTTCGACAGCGAGAGCACACACCATAGCTGATACGAGTGCACGCCGAGTGGGGCATTGTCCATTGTCTTCTGCAGATGCTCCAGGCTGCTGAGCAGCATATAGTTCTGACGATGTGCCTCCATTATTGCCGGCTTATCCCATTGTGGCGGCGCGAACGGCTGCTCCCGACAGAGCTGAGCACAGCCCCAGATATATGGCAGAATGTTGCGATCATCGATCACATTATTGTCACGCACATTGGGCGGGGTCAGGCGATAGAAGTTCATCAGGCGGCGCACCAGATCCAGATAGCGTTGGAACAACAATAGGGCCGCGGCCACTGTGTCCTCGCTTTGCAATATGCCCGACTTGAACAGGCCGCACAGAAAAAACAGGAACATTAGCTCATTGCCGGGTCCGTAGTCGTAGTGCTGTAAGTTGCCAAAGGAGCGGGTCAAATACTGGGCCAGCTCATTGACGTGCTTGCAGTGGGGCTTCACCTGAGACTCCAGTATGGAGAAGACCTTCTCCTGCACCACCTTGAGCCAGTGCCGATACGCGCGATGACATTTTTGGCGCAGCGAATGGGTCGATTCCATCGTATCGAGCCTGTCCTCGCCAACACAACGGAGCAGTCCCTGTCCCACGCCCAACGGATGACATTGATATAGCAGACGATCCAGCCAATTGAAGATTTTGCACAATTGAAGCATCTGCTTAGAGACTGTATAGCCGCCGCCCTGACGATGACCCTGTATGGCCATGCTGGTGTTATTAATGTAAGCCACCAGGTCGTAGTAGGCCCGAGATCGTTTCCATTTGCCCAGATCCTCCGGAGAGTGCACACACTTTGTGTAGATCCGTTGTGCAAATGCTGATGCCTTCAGAGCGTCGGCCGTGGGATCGGCCACATCGTATACCTGTTTGCTGCTCATCTCAAACTATATTCTATATATTCTATATATGTATGTATATCTATATATATATATATATATGTTTGACTCCGAATTCAGGTGAAAAATGAGTTTTGATACCTGATGCAGGGCCTGTTGGGCATACAAGTTGATTAGATCTCCGAGTTCTCTATAAGTTTATATTGATCATAGCTTACTAAGCCCAATAAATAAGTTCTTACTGTAACTCTCTTTGGCCCATCCAAATCCATAATCACAATCCATAAACATTACTTGAATTTGAGAACTGCATAGAAAGGCGGTATTGTGAAGAGAGCGTCTTCCTGTTACATAATTGCTCACGCTTTCTCTATCTCTCTCTCTCTCTCTCTCTCTTTTACTATCTTATTCTCGTTATTTATAACCTACTCACTTGCTCGCCTCTTCAATCAAATATCGCCTTTCTATGCAGTTCTCATTAGCTCTAGTCATGCTTACAGCCCTCGTGGTTGTTTGGTTTTCTTAAACAATATTAACTAGGTGTGTTAGTGTTTATCTTGTATGCCGTTTTCTAGGGGTAATTGGTCTTTGATTTACTTAATCCAATTAACTTGCTTTCCTTTTTTAGATTTCACGCTGGGGCTGGCCTATCTGTATTCGCTTATTCACACGTTATGGCCGTAATCAGCATAAAATATTGCCTGACTGAAGACTAATACTTGGAAGGTCTATCTAAACTGTCTGTGCGTGTGTGTGGTCAAAATTACCGTAGCACATTGCCACTCAAATGTTAGATAGCCCGATTAGAAGCATATAGTAGTCGCTCAATGAGTCCATGTCAAGACCCAGTGCCAGTAGACGAGACAAGTTGTCAAGGCAAGTTGTGTTGTTTGCGATCCGGGTGAGTAGTCAGCTAAATTGTTTACTTTAACTACTTATCGTTGATGCATATACTATATAAAGTCGCATACAATATGAAGAATCCGTTGTGGTTCCTATTTTGGCTGATCGTGTTGATGTTCGTATCGTTTATTGTGGCGCTTCTTGGCGCATTTTTTTACATTTGGACCTATTTGTTGGCCCAATGCAGCAGCTGTTTTCGGGTGAGCTATCCTGTACTATAATAAATAGACTGTATATTTATTTATGCTCCCTCTCTCGCTCGCTTTCTCTCTCTCTCTCTATAGAGTGTTGCCGAGTTCTTTTTGAAGTGCCTTCAGTTTCCAGGCTATTGTGCGGCCGCCATGTTGAATTGCCAATCGTTGTGTTAGGCACATTAATCGACTTTCGCTGACATCGATAAATCACAGCACAGACAATCGAAGTGTGTTCGCGCTAGAGATTGTGTTTTTCTTACGCGGCTGGGCACACTTAACGCCCACAATAAGTGCAAGGCAATCAGCTTGCTGTCAGAAAGATTAGCCTTTCAGATAAGTAAAAATTGGCGTTACCATAATATAGGGTACACACACACGATACACTCACAATAACTTTGTGCACGTGTGTGTATGCATATGTATCATCTCAGTATGCATTTAAGTAGTTAAGTTGATGAATTGTATTATTTTAATATCATGTTAATTGGGTCGTCGAAACTTTGTTATGTATCATAATAAAATATTGTTCTTAACTTAACACTGTGCACGAAGGTTGGGGTTCGAAGCGCTGTAAATCCGGAATTTCCCTAAGAGGGAAATTCGATAGGGAAATTCTCAAATGAAATGCTCTAGTTTTCTAGGATATCTTCTAGTCAGGCACTTAAAAGACACGTACGTCTACGTAGAAATTGAAACTATGCAGAGCAGATATGACTGAGTTCCCAGTTAGTTCCCATGATATCATAACTTTATCAATTTTTGCACACTCTCGTCTAATTGAATCTTGAATTTTTATTGGTTTCAACTACATTTAAACGTTTGGTTTAATTTGTAGCGTCATAAAATCAATGTTATCAAGCGAAAATGGTTTCTCAAGAGGTGCATTGCGCTACGATTTATATATATGCATTTACATATATACATATATATAGTTTCTGTATAGTTCGTTTGAGAAATATATATAGATATAGATATATATGTAGAGAGCAGCTGTCTCTGTCTGGTGGGAGGGCGTGTAATCTGCGGATCATTTTGAGATTAGCGCGTTTGCTTGTTATTACTATGATTTTTGCAAAAATCTAGAATCTATTTATTTTGTTCTTCTTCTTCTTCGTTCTTTTGGATCGGCGCCAAATTGTGAAGAGGAAGAGCAATTATCTAAAAATAAAATGCGCTGCGCTGTGTCGGCAATAGATAGAGAGCTACAGCTAGATCTAGATAAATACACATACACATACACATATTTATTTGCCATACATGTGTGCGTATATATTGTGCATAAAGATATATCTACATACATATATACATATATTTTTTGTGTGTGTGTGTGTGTGTGTGTTTGTGTGTATATGCTCGAGTGTGTGCTCTCGCTTCTATGAAAAAACATACAGACGCGCATGTAAATAAGTGTGTTTGCATATACATCTGTGCATATATATGTATATACATTTATACATACATATATATACATATATATATATATATATATGGATGTGTATTAATCGTGTGTAGACCGTGGGCGCTGTACAATGCCCTGCAGCCAAGACGAAGACAGGCAACTGATGCGACTGCGGTTTTAGTTTTTTGATACCCTTACAGCGGGTACTTTGATATATGGCCACGATATGTGCATAGCTGTTATGGCTGCAAGCCAAGTGCTTTGTCACAGTTTTCTATGCAAATTTATGCAATTTATTTGATTTGATTTTGTGCTAGGTTGGGCATATACCCTATAATATATAATGGATATATAATATATGTTGAAGAGTATTCGTATATATAATCCCTCGACAATTGTTCAATCTTTCATAAGTATTTCGACTTAATCGACTCTGATTTTGCAAACGCCTTATCCCATTTCGAAAGCTTTAACTTGTTGGGAATTGCAAGCAACGAAAAGAATGTAAAGCGCGGAAATTACAGTCCTTTTGCTGTGTGTTTTACCCGTTGAAAGAGCTTTGTGCTTTATCAGCTAATATTATGTGCCTAATTGGGGGCTTGGTAAAAATCGAACTTCTATGTCTACAAATCTACAGTTAGAGCTATCTAATTTGGAATGGAGGCTACTGATGAGCTCTTCTACGGGAAAATTTCATTATCTATAAATCATAAATTGTATGAGAAACAGATATTTTATCTTACTCAAAAAATACCTAACATTAAAAGCCCTTCAAGTTTATCATTATGCTGTACAAGGTTGTTACTTAACTTTAAAAAAGCTCTTCAGTATTAGAAAAAATGTGCATTATGCTTTAGATTGACTGTGACGGACACGAGTATACGAGTATATCTAAAAGGGTATTCAATAAGCGTCACAGCGGTTAACTTTCTTGCCTCGCTTTTGTAGTTGTTGTTGTTGTTGTTGTTTTTTGCATAACCATCCCAAAACCGTGTCCCGTCGCCATTCGCAGAGTCGAGCCCAGACGCAGGTCCGTGGATGATTATGGCTATTATGCGATCGCCCACGCATTGGCGAATATCTGTGCCACATCGCGCAATCCGCCGCAGACGTAATGACTGTGTGGCGACTGTTGTCTCCGCGGACCCGCCCTGCCCCCCGCCCTGCCGCCCGCCCTCTTCCCTTCGCGCTGCCTGTCATACGATTTATTGTCAGCTAACATTTATCAGGCCATTTTGAGCATTTTATTTTAGATAACTCAATCATAGCCAGCCGCAGCCGCAGCAGTAGCAGCAGCAGCACCTGTCATCTGGGCAAAATCCTATGACGCACAACAGACATCATTTGCAGGCAGCGGGAATAAATAGTTGAAGAGTTGGACTGTCCCAAGGGACACATTAAAGAGGCATAAGACAGCAATGCAAAGCAACAGGCAAGCACGACTTCAAGATACTCTCTTCCCAGCAGTGAGAATAGCCCCAAGCAGCTGACTCAAACTTAAGAAACTCGCATAAATACTTTGGGGAACACAGTAAAAAGCACACTTGAGAATGGCCACAAAGAATGGCTACACCGAAGAGTAAATGCCCTTCCAGATATGTAAGCAGAATTGTGAAGCTTTCTACTGCTGAGCTTGTTGGTAATATCTTTAAACAAAAACATTTTCGATTGTTTTTTGGAGCTATATCATATAGTAGTCCGATATTGACAAGATATTGCACATACATATACCCTATCTGCAGCAGTACCTGGCCATAGCCTTACGACTGAGCGACTTATATGCATGGAAACACACCGACGTACCTGGCTATATCGAATGTTGATACTGTTCAAGAAAATATATACTTTATGTCTATATAAATACTTCTATGCCTTACACATTTGATGACTACTTTGTAATATTCTCTACTTCTCTCTCTTCCTCTCCCTATCTATCTCTGCCTTTCTATCTCTCTCTGTATCTGCTTCTCCCAATTTCTCTCTCTTTCTCTGTCTGTCGCTGTCTCCCCCTCTCTTACTGTCTATCTCTCTATCTCTCTCTCTATCCCTTTATCTCTCTCGTTCTCGTTCTCGCTCTCGCTCTAGCTCTCTCTCTCACTTTCTCTTTCTTTGTCTTTCTTTCTCTTTCTTTCTCTCTCTCTCTCTATCTCTATCTCTCTTTATTTCTCTATATCTTTTAGGATATATAAATGTGAAATGTCCCTAAAAAGAAAACTATATATGTATATCGATTTTCTTTGTTTTCTAGATAAGTATCTGGCTTAAAGTACTTTATATATTATCTATAATTGTTATATTTAATATCTATTTTTATTCTTTTTTGTTTATTGATAATCATCCTCTATATCTCTATATATTTTTACTCTATTCTATTCTCTTTCTATATATATGTTAAAATATTCTTTGGATCTACAATTTTCGTAGTCTCTTTAATCCCCAGCTATATTGTCCATTGTCCATCAATTCAAGAATAACCTAACAGAATATTTCGCTTCGGTTTATACCACATTTACTTTATGTACTTTTATATACATATATAGCTTTATATATATGTGCATATATATATAGTTACATAAGTGAATTGATTGGCTGTGAAACGTGTGTGCGTGTGTTTTTAATGCATTCGATTTGATATTGAATATTTTCGCCTTGAATTATGCAGAAATTTTGTGTACGCTTCTTATCTGCGGTTTGGCCCCTAATCGTTGTTCTTGCTGTGGCTTTTGCTGTCTTGCGTTTTGTGTTTTATTCCCATCATCAATTAAACAGAAATTGTACAAATTTACACCTGTCTTCGGCGCTTCCCTTGTACATTGTGTGTGTATGGGAGGCGGGGGGAGGGGGGACAAGGGAAATAAAGGTATACAAAACAAGTGCAACACATTTTTATTATCATGGAACAACAATAAAAGAAGAAACAAGACAGTGGCCGACCAGCAGATACCCTGTACACGTTAATGTGAAAGGTGCCTTCACTGCTCTGCTTCTTCCCTTTGCACCATAAGAAGGGAAATGCATTCTACGATTTGTATAGATCAAAGTAAGGATCTAAATACCAAATTTGATGCATCTTTTACTTAAAATATTTGAATTGTGCTTTAAATACCATGTTTCAGAATCGATTTTTACCGAAAATATGAAAATGGGAAGAGTTATCGACAAAAGTATCGTTTTTTATGGATATTATGAAAATCGAAAAAGATATCAACAAAAAAGTATCGATTTTTATTGATGGTATGGAAATGAGAGGAGATATCGACAGCATATGATCGATATTATAGATGTGGGAAGAGATATCGACAAGAACTGATCAATTTGTATTGATATTATGGACATTAAAAACGATATCTACAAAAAGATCGATTTTTATCGACAAGAAATAATCGATTTTAATCCAAACTATGGAAACGGGAAGAGATATCAAATAGAAATTTTAAACTTGTTTTGCATTTGATATACAATAAAAACATATTGCGAGTCTCCAGTTCGACCCAACTAGTCAGTCTAATTCAGAATATTGATACCTAATGCTTGCTTCTTTCTGTAACATACATTGGCACACAGCCCTGAAGCCCCCTTTTTACCAGGGTATACTCACTGACTGCCTTCTCTTTCGCTCTTGTGCTTCGTGCTTGACGGTGTTAATGAGAGCTTTTGGATGTTGGATCCCTGCTCGGGCGCTTCGTGCGTTACGTGCTCAAAGTGCTCGACTGGTCATAATGTGCGATGTAATTTCAAGTGTCATAAGCAGCCGCTATTCGATGCGGATAATTCATGCTGTTCGCACACCACAAAATGTATCCACCCGCACACACAAAGTATATTTTTAATACAAATTTGCACTCTCAAATGCTCATTCAGATATTTGCACATAAACAGATTCCCATAACGCTGACGATTATTATGATGATTGCCATGACAAAGAGTTTAGTGCTCGACGAATGGTTACCCTGTTTGTTGCATATTTGTGATGGAATTGATAGAATTGCAAAGAAACCTTAATTTAAAATACAATCTG